CGGTACCTGAAAAGACAAATACAGGTGAGGTCAACTTAATGAATGAAAAACAAACAACAAAGAACACAAACATAAAAAAAAAACAGAATTGTCTTTCTTTCTCCTTATTTCTTTTCTGATGAAGCTTAAATAAAAGTGAAACATGTCAAATTTAAAAATGTTACCTATTTGTTTATATATATATTAAAAAAAAACTACACATTATTAAGTTTCTAAATAATAAAAATCTATTAAACAATAGACAGGAATTAACGGTTTTTTGCCGACATCATCAAATGTTCGCATTGAATAATTAGCATAAAAACAAACAAACAATATAATAATTTTTAAATTCCATAGTCCTAATAAATAGTTTAAATGCCCTACAAAAAATAATTAAAGATAACCCTTTATGAAGTCGTCAAAGAAACAAATGTTAGCGACTTACGACAATTTTTTTTATATAAACAAAACCCTTTCAGAAAAAATAAATAAAATAAAAAAATAAATAAATCTCCATAGACACTTAACCAGACTAGACGATGTCATCTTCTGCTTTAAATTTAGACACCCCAACCTTACCCTGACTTGACGTCTGTGAATGTAACTGAGATATTGATACAAATTATTAACCCTTACGCCCCTTTTCTTTAAACAATTGCTCTAGCCGTTACCATAGTAATTTTAATTTCAATAATGAATATGCTGATAAAACGCGTAAATTTCAGGAATAAGTTATTCCAAAAAAATTTCGCTTGAACATGGAACAAAGCTTAGTACTTTAATTCAAATAATTATATTGAAGTTTTCGGCTCTTGTTTTGAAACATGAGAACTCTTATGTAGCGTTGGAATCATATTTTTTAAATAAATAAATAATTATATATATATATATATATATATATATATATATATATATATATATTGTTAAGCAGTCCACCTCTTGTATACAAGTGGACTCGCCCAGTGTGTACCTGTAGAGCTGCCGGTGAATACTCAGAGAGTGACAGTGATACAGAGAGAGAGAGAGAGAAAGAGTGAAAGTGTGAGGTAACCACTTGGTAGGAGTCACAGTTGAGAGCACGTAGACTCAGAATGAAGTCCTACTTCGATACTGAATTTCCCAGACTGTATATAAATTATTATTGTTACTAACCGCATTTCTGGATCTGCTAACCGGATTACCAATTGTATTATTACGTCAATACATTTATTTGCTATATTTCATTCCTGCATTTGTCATTCATTTGAGACCGGATTTCATCTCGGAATCCACAACACACACACACACACACACACACACATATATATATATATATATATATATATATATATATATATATATATATATATATATCAGTATTTTAATAACTACGACTTGCATTTTATATCAGTTTTCTATGTATTTTCATATCGCTATCCAGCCATAGATGTAGACGGGCACTTCGGCGCGTTTGTAATGATTAGTAAACGTTTCTCTCTAGAACAATTACGAATGAGTTTTTCGGCCTTGTGCCACATCTAAGCTATACTTAGAAAACCATTGGCCACTCTAACGTGGTGTAATGGTTATCAAGCTTGTCTAGCTGTAGCAATTACGACTCAGTCGTGAGTTCGATTATCATTGGCTTCGCCATTCTTTCGGCCTTGTGCCACATATAATCTACGCTTAGAAAATTGGCATCCCTAGATATGGAGTCTAACCTCATGTAGTGATGAATGAATTATTCCAGGAACAGAGAGCTATGGCACCGGTATATACATATACCGGCACATTTCTCTCTTTCTGTTTCTGATAATAAACGTTTAAGTTTTACATATTTCATTCTCTGTTTGGCCTACGTTTTTGCCTTCAGCATATCGTGTGAGAATCAAGTTCTTCAAGTCCTATTTCCTCATTATGCTTCTTTTTCTTCTAATACTACTAATATTACTGCTACTACTACTACTACTGTTGCTGCAACTAGCACCACCACCCCAGATGGATTCGTTGGGGAGCCGAGGTGCTGAGCTGTCCACCAGTCTGCTACATCCGTCACGGTCGTGTGCCTGGGCCTGTGCCTCTGTGTATTCTTTCCCCATCCGTTCCTCGATATTGTCATTCCATTTTTTCCTCTGTCTTCCAAACCTCCTACGTCTCACAACAGTCCCTTGAAGAATTGTCTTTGCAACGTCATCCGATCTTGTTACATGGCCATACCATCTCAGCTTACTTTTCTTCACTGTACTGAGATCTTCGTGGGGGGACCAACGTGCAACTACATTTTACTGCGTACTTGGTCGTTGGTGATGTGGTCAAAATATAAGATGCCCACAATGGCATACAATTTCTAGTGCCTGTATCTATCTTTGTAACTCAGCTGTGAGCGTCCATGTCCCGCATGGATATAGGAATATAGAGAACACCAGTGCACGTAAAAGCCTGGTCTTGTACTCCACAGAGATTGTGTTACTTCTTCACAGGGTCTTCAGCTTAAAGTATGCCATCATAGTCTGTGCAGTTCTTACAAGGATTTTTGGTTATGATCCCTGGACACTGATGATCGCCCTGACTATACGGCTAAGGAATCTGAAATGTTTTTCTGATTTTAATTCTAAGTGTTGTTTTGGTTACGATTGTGCTTTAAACTTCCTAATTGCTCACATTCTACGTTCATGATATTCTCAGCATCTCTCTAGCCTCAGAGTTAATCTTCATCTGTGTGTAAATTGTCAAGGATTTAGTATCATTTAGTTTATTATATATGACATAGCAATTCAGTAAAGTTTTTATATATGTTTAATTTTCTCTGTATATAATTCAGGCTGTGAAATTTTTGTATATATCCAAAATATATCCATTTTTTGTCTTTTTTTCATATGCCATGTTCTTTCAGGACGGTCATGACTATCCACAACTCCCTGTCTTTTCATACACTCACTATTTTCTATCCTTTCTTCTTCTTCTTTTTCTTCTTCTTCTTCTTCTTCTTCTTCTTCTTCTTGTTCGTCTCTGTTCTGTCATCCATTTGCATCAATGTGTTGACTAATTTACTCGCTGCTTCCACATGTTTTACTTGATTTTAGTACTTCTGAATTTAAGATTCTCCAAGCCTTCTTACCTAGTAACGTATTCCATAAATTCCAACTGTCTCTATCTGATTGTAAGCACAGACATCATTTTTGTTCCCATATCCCGTAAAGCATCATCATTATTTAAATGTTCTCTCCATAGCATTCAGCATATGAGAACGCGTAATAATGGCAGTTCTTTTTTTTTTGTTTGTCTCTGTCGATGTTCTCTTATCAGCTATTACCAATACATTAAATCAACGATATAACAAAAGCAAAAAAGACTTGACCTGGAAGATAGCCAAAAATACTGTTGAATTTATAACTTCTTCTCAGATAATAATTTTAAAAGTGACAGTGGAATTCCTGTAGTTTGTACCATTTTTAGTTTTAGTACTGACTACACACTTCGATTTGGACAGCTGACGTACTGTGTTTAGTGGTATTTGGTCATGTTCGTTGAATCGAAATAAGTTACATCAATTGTTTTTCGTTACATTTAGGTATCCATTGGTCATGTTAATATTAATGGTAATATTACTTGTTTCCTTATAAACCAGTGTTAGTGGCGGTTGAAATTTATAAAACTTATTTTTCTGATAGCCATAACATATATTTATATAAGTGTGCGGAGAATTTTAAACTTTCCCCGTATATATATATATATATATATATATATATATATATATATATATATATGCAAATCAAAAGTTGGAAACCACGCCAAGGAATGAACTTGACAGAAGAGTAAAAAAAAAGATAATAAAAAAGAGATCTAAGAATCATGGAAAAATGAGTGGAATCAAATATCAAAGTTATACTTTGAGAAACTTTTGCAACGAATGCTGCTGTAGTCAAGCCTAAAGGCGGATATTTTGATGAGAGCAAAATTTAAACATATTTTTTTTTTACTTTTTCTTATAATAAAATTTCAATTAAAAAAATCATGTTTTATTTTGATTTTAAGCAAGCATAATAATTTTCTCTTATTTAAAGTACAAAGCAACTAATTTTGGGGCCAATTGTATAAATTAAAAGGGGTGCCCTTAAACATTTGACCTGGAGTATATATATATATATATATATATATATATATATATATATATATATATATATATATATATATTATTAAAATGAACCGGCAAGATCTGTCCGTTTATTTTTTATAGTAGTTTTGGATACTGTCCAAAGTTCATATTTTGTTATTTTTGTTCAAAAACTTTCGACTTTTGCAGTCATTATCAGGAACCGGGAGAAGGAAAGTAGGTAAGAAAGAATGAAATAAATTTAACGTGGCTAGTCGGGTTAAGTAGAACTGATCCCTATCTGAGCCCTGATCTGGAGACATTTAATAGGAAATATATTTCTTGCTTAATTTGAAAACAAACTTTTAAAAACAGCTAATGAATTGCATGCCCTGTTTTTCAAAGAACATTTTTTTTATTTCAACTCATCTAAAAATCCATTTTAAATAATTTATTCAGCAAAGTATAAGTTTTTTTGGCACAATATATTAATTGAAAAAGGGCAAATTAAATTTGTTATGACCTAAAGTCGGCGTAAATCAAAAAAAAAGTCTTTGCTCGGTTGAGTGTGCCTGGGGTAGTGTTGAAGAAATACGATATCAGTTAGCAGTACTGATCATAAATTCAGTGATAGTGGAAAACATAAACTCACTAACTCATACACATATATACAAACACACACTCGAGATAGATACACGCGTTATTTAAAAAACATATCTGGCTAGAGTTTTTTTTAATGATATAATTTAGTTAGAGTAATAGAAAAAATTTAAGTTATACCAATAGTATATTTTGTTACACACACACACACACACACACACACACACACACACACACATATATATATATATATATATATATATATATGCGTTTTACTTTCTTTTTTGCCTTTGCTGGTTTTTAAATTTCCTTTTAAGATAGTTTCAATTTATATTTTCCTAATTACCTGATAGATAGGAAGTGTGTGACATCTGTTAGATAGATAGATAGATAGATAGATAGAGATAGATAGATAGATGAACAGAAATTTGAGAGAGAGAGTATGAAAGAAACAGGTAAAGTCTGACAAGAGTTGCGAGAGAGAGAGAGAGAGATAGAGAAAAAGAGAAATCGACTAGCATTGACTGGAACAGTTCATAAAATTGACATTTTTCCTCTAATTTTGTTTATATCCTTTTTTAAAATGTTATGTTCCTTCCAGAATTATGCGATCATAGCCTTCCACATATTTCTTCCTTCATATCTTTAAAGTCACATAATTTCTTGGTTTCTCGTTGCCGTCGCGGTTTTGAATGAAAAATAATCTCTAGAGTGGGTGCTACCCACCCAAGGCTAGGGAGCGCAGTCTCGTCTGATATTTCGCCTATATTTGCCGGAGGAGAATCAATGGATTCACGCCTATATCCAAGGGCAATAGCGTGAAAGTTACTACAACGGATTCGTACTTGAACACGACTTACCTTCTGTTTTCGTATATTTTTTTAGTTTTTGGCTTTTAAATCTCCGGCCTTTTATATTTATTTGGTCGCTCTTTTTTCTTTTTCATTGTCGCCTTTCTCCTCCACTTTTTGTCTTTTTTTGTTTTCTTTTTTCATTGTTTTCCCCTTTACTCAATCAGTTATGAAGTTTCCTTTGAAAGTGATTGTTAATTATTCATGCTTGTCAGACCTTCATAAATCCAAGCTTAGTCTACAAAAAACATTTGTGAATACGTCAAACTAAAACAGAATACTCTTGATACTTTCTTTTATTGTTATTGACAGACACTCTTTATAGAAGTATTATACATTTGCGATAATTATTAATACACCTTTTATTGTCCACCCAGTACAAGGCCCAGGCGCCACACATGGTAAAGGATTATTGAATGGTCTTGTTTTATAGACGTGAGATATGTCGTGGTTCCTGTGACGAAGCCGTCCGAATGGGACTTGATATTTACCAATGGAATACGCAGAGAATGAGGATGATCCGAACCTCTGTACATGGTATGATGTATCCGAGCTGTAAAGATCTGGAATGCTGTTATAAGGGTATTTAGCTCGTCGGAACATTTTTTATTGCTCGCTATGGTGCCTTGGTGGGTAATTGAATGAAAGGTAGAAAATAATTCACCTACCTAATCACCTACCTAAGCTGCGATGGAGAGCCATGATCACATATTTTCCGGAACGGACATAGCATTTAAAAAAAAAGGGATAAACAAAATTACAGAAAGATTTGACTTTTATGAACTATTTCAATCAATTTCTTGTCGCATTCTTTCTCTCTCACACTCTCTGTCAGACTTAACCTGTTTCTTTCATAATCTTGTTCTGTCTATCTATCTATCTATCTATCTATCTATCTATCTATCTATCTATCTCTCTTAGTCTGTTCATACCTATCTATCTTAGGCTATTCATATCTATCTATCTATCTATCTTAGTCTGTTCATACCTATCTATTTTAGGCTATTCATATCTATCTATCTATCTATCTATCTTAGTCTGTTCATACCTATCGATTTTAGGCTATTCATATCTATCTATCTTAGTCTGTTCATACCTATCTATCTATCTATCTATCTATCTATCTCATTCTGTTCATATCTATCTATCTATCTATCTATCTAAGTCTGTTCATACCTATCTATCTTAGGCTATTCATATCTATCTATCTATCTATCTATCTATCTTAGTCTGTTCATACCTATCTATCTTAGGCTATTCATATCTATCTATCTATCTATCTATCTATCTATCTATCTTAGTCTGTTCATATCTATCTATCTATCTATCTATCTATCTATCTATCTATCTATTGATCTCTATCAAGCCAGAAAAGAGAGGATTGAATATCGCCAGACCAGATATGGCAGCGATGCTTCGTTTTTAGTCCGATCTGATTTGTACACACAGATCATAGCAGGTGAAGTCAGGTATAAGGACCCGAGAATTTTTGCAACGTCTTTAGCGCTGGAGCGTATATATGTGTTACACTTGGGGTCTGCGATGAACTTGAAACGTAAGAGACACTCAAAGCAAGGAGACTTATTGAGAGTACAGCCATTCATCATCATGGGTGAGAATTCCAAGACAGCTCGGTGATGATGTAAAGTTACCGTCTTGTTTATAGAGATATAAAGTCCAACCCTTACCTCACAGTCGGTGGGGGGGGTGTAAACGGTAGTGTCAGAGCTATACCGCCCGGAACTTCGTTCCTGGTAGGGCCACCCAAGGCGGACAGGTCTGACACACACGCCGGCTAACAAGGGCTCTGGTGAAAATCAAGGAGCGTCTGCATCGGTAAACGGCTGCTTCTGGTCGTTCCTGTCTCTGCGTCTGTGGGAATCCCGCGGCAAGCAAGAACGTTATCCGAGTAGTCCTGGGTACCCTACTTCTGTAATTTATCCCAAGAACCTTCTTCTCATAACAGGAAGAAGCCAGCTCAATCCGCCCAGGGTGAATGCCGCATCAGTACAGTAGTAGTACAGTTATAGAGATATTGAATATTGCAAGCTTTTTTTTTCCCATTGTAGGATCGACTGACAGGATCTAGTCATCTATGCCTACGACACAAGCAAAAAAAAACTATAATTTTTTTCTTAGCGGGCTTACGGTCATATCACGTTGAAACACCGGTTCTCGTATGATCATTAAAGTTAAGCCACAACAAGCCTAGTCAGTACCTAGGTGGGCGACCGCTTGGGAATATCAGGTGCTGTAAGCTTAGTTGGGAATTGTTCATCGGAGAGCCGAGTTTCAATTCCCGTTGGTTTCGGTATATTCACTTACGCGCAAATATCCTTAGGAAGCATATGAATCCACCTCTTCTCCCCCTAGATATGAGTTAATTAGTAAAATTTGTATCACTAAATCATTATTATGTCACAAAAATTCTTCAATCTGAATGTAGTTTTTTGGGGTTTAATAACAAGTAAAGATATTGATAAGCTGTAGAAAACAAATCAATGAAGCAATCTTTTCTCTGTGGAAGAAGTTTTGGAGTGGTATTTTCATGTTTGTTATGCGTCTACATTTGGTTGGCGTCTCGCTGTTATGGTGTCCTCCCTCTAATGAATCTATTGTGGACTCTTCCACCTACTATAAAATTAGTAGGAAAGTATGCCTTGGGGGACCAGTAGTATTGAATTTATTATTATTATTATTATTATTATTATTATTATTATTATTATTATTTTATTTCCTTTGATTTCTGGTGTGTACACATTTCGTTCCAGGTCCCACCCAGAGACCTAAGGTTAGAAATGGCATCATGAGATCTCCACTATACAATATATATATATATATATATATATATATATATATATATATATATATATATATATTACATAGATAAAGCCCTTTTCAAGGTGTGGGCTGTACTCATGAGAACAATTTTTGTATTTCTTTAAGGAATATTTCCCGTAATCCCTTCAATTAGTGTACTGGAATCTTTTCCAACCAATCCGAGGGCTACAACTACAACAGGGATTGTTAATGTTCCCATGTGCCACATTTTTGAGATTTCGATTTCATTACCATGATGATGATGATGATGATCATCATCATCATCATATTTCGCGCGGTTTTTTCGCTTTGAAGTGGAGATCATGCGATATGAATGTTTTTCTTCAATTCATAGCATCTCTCGCTGAATATTTGCAGTGCCAAATAACGTGTCTTCTGAGGTGATCAGATAGGAAGCTTTATTGAGTGAGAAAACAGCAGTGGCTAAAAAGGTGAGTCTGGGACAGAAATACACGAAGCCCAATATAGCCATCATGAAACCCAGATAGATCTCTATACAACATATCACAGCCATAAATGCGTGACAGGATGACAAGGTTTTAGAAAAACAAAGAGAGGTCCACAGTTTGAAATATCTTTAAATCAGGTAACTTAGTTCGATTAGATTGATTTTTATTAAATGATGTTGTTGTTGTTTTATTTATTATTATTATTATTAATAGTAGTAGTAGTAGTAGTAGAAGAAGAAGAAGAAGAAGAAGAAGAAGACTGTATATAGGTTAGACCTTTTCCTAAAAATCATAGTCAGAAATCGCCGTTTATTATAGATAAACTTAAGATCTACCTTAGGCTATTTTTATCCTCAATGTTAATTGACGTTTGCTATAATTTTTCCAAAACAAAAATTAATTTTTAACTTTCTCGACTCTATAATAATTGCTCTTGGTGTCTTCCACTTACTATAAAGTAGTAGGAAAATAAACCTCGGGTGGAACGGTCCTACTGTTCTTCCGAGCTGCTGTCGAACTTTCTGCCTTGGGCAGAGAGGAACCGGGACGAGGCTGTGCCGAAGGGCAGAGTTTCGTCCGGGGAGGTAGACAGACCCGAACACGTTAATGCAGGTTCTACGGGGATTTTTTGGCCGAGCCTACGGACTCGGATGATCCACGTTAAACTCGGCCTTGTGCCGCATGTACCCTCGTGGGGTGGGGGCTGCTAAATATTAACAGTGATATAGACTGAAAACTGGTCAACCGACACACACTCCCAAGTCGTATAATACTTTTCTGTTGTATTTAGTGATCAATACACGATTTATCTGCAACTTCTAGCTTTGTAATTCCTTAACCAATTACTTGGTCACAACAATATTATTTGCTAAAGATATATTATTATTATTACTAATCAAAATGACTTGTAAATCTTTCAATATTTTTACAGCACTTAAAGAAGAGCACGTTGACCATGTTCAACACTATTTTGACAGTCTGCCTGTATTCTTCAAGTTATGTTTAAAAATTGTATACAAGTACAAAATATAAAAATTATAGGTCTTTGTGCAAATTTCGCTTGTCTTGAGAAAACGGCTGTAATGGTAATCAACGGGTCAAAACGAATTGTATACAATCACGTTTTATGATTGTATTAAATAGCGTACTTTTCGAAGTGTATTATTATTACAACTGCTGCTCTAAAGGGATTTATCGTAAAACGTAAAGGCGAAGTTAGTCGGTATTTGTTGTGTAGAAAGACGACCGACCATCGCTGTGCTAAATGGTTGAACATACTCGTCCGTTCACTATGAGTGAAACGTCGGCTCATAGGAACAGGAGTCGCAAAGTGTGACGCACGTATTGCCGCACTAACTGGAATATTCGCTATTATTGTAGTATTAATCTATAAGATTAAACAGTTTCTTCACTAATCTAATCAGTGTTTTTTTTTAAATATTATTAACTAGGACTACGAGCTTATACGAGAATTATAAAAGTAGCAACAGGAATTCGAAACTCACGTTTGGAAAAAAAGAATAATTCTGACGATGATTTTTCTTTTTTTTTTAACTCACGACAATCAAACATTTGATAAGCGCGCAAAATGGAGAGCTTAGAAATCGTGGGACGACATCACCCACTATAACGAACACTACAAATTTTGGAACATCAGACATGGATGCTGGAAGCAATGATTTTGCAGAAATCAAATGAAACAAGTACTACGGTTTCATACCCGGTAGATGCGGTCACAATCTCTATTGGTGAATTTTTATATAACTCTGAAGAGGGTTATTACATATTATTATTATTATTGTTGTTGTATTACAGAAAATGCGAACACACACACACACACACACACACACAAAAAGAAAAAAACATGTTATGGTTGGCCAGATGAAAACAAAGGTACGTTTACTTTTAAGGAAATTGTGTCCATCTGAGCACGAAAAATATTTTAATTACATTATACCTGAAAAACCAATAAATATATCTAATGAAACTGTTAATTTTGTATAAATTTTTCAGTGAAAGGAACTCTCAATTTGATACATGTTGGCAATGCTTAAATCTTACAAAAAACGATGACGAAGATTTTGTTATTTATTCTGGTATTGTCAATCGTAAAAAATTTAAACTCAACGAACTCTATCTAGATATGTTTAATTTTTGTCCGGGGGTTAAATTTGTTCGCGCATTTTAATAACAGGAGCTGGATTCAAAATGAACCTTAAAGATAGTGGCAGAAGAATGTCAAAGAATTCTAAATGCAAGACATGATAGTTCAAAAATTGAATAAACGGATGTTGTACAAGTCCAGACAGTGCGACCAAAGGACAAAAGAATAAAAAATGACTGCCTGAACCTGTATTACACTTGTGGAGGACTTCATTTCCTACTAAGAAATGTTTCCAATATGGAAAACTGCGTCATAGATAAAGTCATTACAAAACAAAGAAGAAATGTAAGACATTTTAATACAGTAAAGTTTGTACTGACAACTCAAAATCTAAACGAGGCTCAGAATAGAAAATTGGTGAAGGTTAAGTTGAAAAACGTTGAAGTAAAATTTCAATTGGACACAGGCAGCGACATTACTATAATTAATGAAAGAAATTGGGAAAATATTGCACGTAGCGTCTCTGGAAAAAATGTTTTCGAGGCGAAATTGCATGTAATGGATCATGTACCGGTAAAAATTTAAAAAATAAGGAATTCGTATTAAAAAAAATAATACGTTGAATTTACTCGGATTGGATGGAACTGTTCGATTTATCAAATTCGTTCTGTAAAAAAAAATAGAATTGATCCTTCTCGGAAACAATTATGGCAATTGAACGTTTTTTTTTTAAAGTGTTAAAAAATAATTTTCGTACAGTGTCCTCCGAAGGTCTTGTAAAATGTACTATGCAAAAGCAGTTTTTTACTTGAAGGAAACTGTTTATTGTTTATAAACCTAAGCGCTGCTTGCCTTGTGCAGTTGTGGAACCCATTACCAAAGTACTTGACAGATTAGAAACTCTAGTTGTTATTACGCCCACAAATTATTCTGAGTGGGCTGCTCTAACAGTGTACGTAAAAAGAAAAGTAATAATATTCGTATATGCACATATTTTTATACAGAGTTAAATGAGTGTCTACTATGTCACACACATCCGCTACCATCCTCAAAATATTTTTTTCTAAATTAAATGGTAAAAAAACCATGTTTTTTTCAAAAGATTAAACTATCAGACGAATAGATTGAAGTAAATGAAAAATGTAGAAAATTATTAACAATTAACACACCCAAGGTTTTATACAGCTACCATTCGGGGTCAAAATGGCACCTCGCATTTTCCAGCAAGTAATGCGATGCTAGCTGGCTTTGATTTTACTGTTGCATATTTAAACGATGTACTAATACAAAACGAAGCTAGACAGCAATATTCAGTACACATACGAAAAGTATTCTACAGAATTACGGGTTCAAACTCCGTGAGGAGAAATGCCAAATTTTAAGAAGCAATTTGAACCCATTAGCACAAATAATTGATGCAAATGAGTGTAGATCAGACTCATCAAATATCCCTGCTTCGACAAACCTAGGTACTTTACAATCATTTTTTTTCGCAAGCTATTACAATATGTGTGTACCAAACATGCATAAATTGAGAGCGCCTCTAAATAAATTATTGAAGAAAAGATTTGATGTGGAATTGGTAAGATGAATGTCAAAAGATTTTTGAAGACATAAAGAATATGTTAGCGTTTGAATTATCGTTAACGCATTTTAATTCTGATTTAGTAATCATTGTAGCATCAGATGTTAGCGATTAAGGCATTGGAGAATTTATCGGCCATAAATTCAAGGATGGTGAAATAAAAGCAGTTTCCCATGCATCTAGAATGTTAACAGCAGCCGAAAAATTATAGTCAAATCGAAAAAGAAAAGCTAGCTATTATTTTTGGACTAAAACAAAAATTCACAAAATGATACACGA